GCGCATGGTGACAGCATCTACCCCAGAGGTTGTTGGATGAAAGGAGATGCTGCTGCAGTGAGCTCTGCACAGCACCTGGCACCAAGCAAGCACCCAAGCGTTAGCTGGGCTCAAGGCTGGTGTGGGTTGTGGTGGGGCGTCGCTTGCTTGGTTCAAGCTCAGAATTTGTGTGCGGTGTATGGTGCCATAAACGGTTTTAGACAGCTGCTGCTACTGAGTTCCTACTATTTGTCAGACCGTGCCAGAAACGATAGCTACAAGACTTCTAATCTCACCAAGTCTCTGGAGGGAGGTATAATTACCCTCCCTTTACAGTCTAGACAAATGAGGCTCCAGTAAACTAGCCAGCTTGTCCAAGCACACACCCTATTTCACAGGCGAGGTTTGGGGACAGGCACATGACCAGGCCAGAGTAATGCTGGTTAGGAGGACAGCAGTAGGGACGTGGAGGAGGAACGTGGGAGGGGAAGTGCTGAGGGCAGAGTTCAGACAAAGTAATCTGTAAACCAGGAGGAAAAAGGACTGGGAAGAATAGGCGTAGCAGATAGGGTTTCCCAGAAAGCATAATACATCTCATTGATAACACAATAAAATGATTTTATTTATTTTTTATTGTGCTTTAGGTGAAAGTTTACAGAGCAAATCAGTTTCTCATTGAACAATTAATACACAAACTGTTTTGTGGCAACACTCTCCCCTTCTCCACCCCAGGAAATGATTTTATTTTTTTAAATAGTGAAATTATTTTAAAGTGCATTAAAAAATATACTTTTCCCAGTAAACTTAGTATTTCAGATAGTAATACTCAGGATTAAAGCAGGTAACAGCAGCGTAGTCCACCTTACACAGAGCGTGTGTGCCACAGTGGGGCGGCAGGCATGCCCGTGAACATTTCCAATTTTCAGCAATGGAACCTTCACTGTACGTCTCCTCAAGGACGCACAGCAGCCTGGGTGTCACCAAATCTCTTCCCAAGGATGGTCAGGAAGTGCTAAGGACTGCCTGTGTGGACACTCACACGGAATTTCTATTCACACGGCTGGGAGACTGGCTGCTGACCAGGGGAAGCTCCTGCCGGTGCCACGGAAGAGGTGCCGCAGGGTTTTCAGAGACAGGATAGAGGAAGCTGCTGTTTCAAATGGTAAACCAGGTTAAAGGCTTTCTGGCCATCTTTTCCCCTTAGCTGTGGGAAGGGACGCAGAGTGACTCCTGTCTCATTCCTGAAGCCCACTGGCTTCTGCAGGTAGCAAACTTCTCACTTGTCTACACCCAGTGTGGGAAGAACCTCTAGCCATTCTAGATGGAGCCTTTAATCGGCCAGCTCGCGTACGTGATTGGGTGCATTTGCATGCATGAACAATGAAAGTATCCTCATAAGGCAAGTTTGCATCCATATTGCAAACTGGAGCTATGAGGGATACTCTTTGATCATGCTGAATTTGTTTGGATCTGAATCTAGGAAAAGAATCAATTAGTTATAAACTTAACAACTCACTTCAAACTATTTTGAACGTTATAAAGATCCTTAAAAGACTTGATAAACCTCTGAACTTGGAACTGAAGCTGCTCCCAGTGATTACCTTTTATCCAAATAATAGACTGGCTTATAAAATAAACACTATCACCCGTGAGTACTGTTCTCCCTTAAATTATCAACTATATGAGACCAAACGGTCAATATTTACCCTAAAACAAAGATGAGAAGCTAAGGAGGGGCAGGGAAGCTAGATTAATGGAAACAGGACAAACAGAATGGAAATGATGAGAATGTTGACACACTGTGAAAAACATAACCAATGCCACGGAAAAAGTTATATAAAAACTGTTCAAAGGGAACTTAATTTACCATGTAAACTTTCACCTGAAGCACAATAAAATATAAAAAACAAAACAAAAACCTTACCAAAAAAAGGCTTGATAAAAAGCTCTTCAATTATTTTCCCAACCAGACGGCAGCAATGAGCAGATGAGGAAACCTTTTCCTCCTTTGCCTTGTGGACACTACCCAATTATTCCAGAATATGGAGATGTTTCCGATGGCTGCTAAAAGTCACCCACATCATTTCAGTTGAGAATCAGTTCTCAGTATCTAACTGAAAGAAATCAGTTAAATTCTCTTGCCCTTTCCTACCACATGCCATGATCCTGTGGGGGCTACAAGGTACTGAAATGTGTATTTTCTCCAAAAATTTCTCTCTGCCCAATGGGTAGAGCATT